GCAAAGCGTTAGTCATTTTTTAGATTTCCTTAAATTATATATTTAGAGCTATTTGCTTGGGGGAAATTAAGATTTCTACGCCTATTGTGAGTTTCGATAAAAGGACTATAGATCGATTTGAAATCTAATCATTCTGTACAATATGGTAACGTTGAGTTAAGTGGCAAATACAAGTTGCCTTAGTGACAATAATCCCGCCATTAGCATTAATTTGTAGAAGCTTGGCTTGTTCTGAATGTCTAATCTGCCCGAGGCAAATAGGCGCCTTGAGTTGTTTGGCGGAATGATAATATTGCCACTTGATAGTATGATCGGATTGTGTGATCCAGGCGAGGTTAAAACAACAGTCTATTCAAAATGAGAGTAAGAGGAAGTGAGATCAGATAGCATCATGAAGCCTTCTATTTATTTCATTGTCTCCGGTATTCTTTAACATAAGACATATTAAGGTGATTTGAGTTGTATTCCCAAGCACTACTGAGTGCGTCATTTTTAGGTAAAGTATATGAGAGATTAATCTGGCTGTATTTTACTTTAGGATTTCTTAAATTTATGTCACGAAATATTCTAATGAAGGCATTTAATCTTGTCTTCTAGATCACAACATATGGAGCAAGCAGGTTCCTTTACCAGTGTCAGTGAACTCGGGCAATGTGTACGATTATTATGACATTCTCGAAGAGATTGGAACGTAAGTTCACTATCTAATTAGAAGAAAGTTCAGTTTCAGTAAATAATTATTTTATTTTTGATTCACATCAATTTTTTCCAACAAGAAGATTTTATAGGTCGAGTTCTATCGCTAAAACGATTATCCGAGATTTTTTAGGTCAAAATGACGTAAAATAGACTATCGAAAAGCGTTAGGTTTTAAGACGAATCTGGTTTCATGTGAAAGTGAATCATTAATTGATTTATTTTTAGGCTATTGCTTAATCATTAGTTCTATTCACCCTATTTCGATTAAGATAGTTGATTTTTTCCACAATGATATGAGTATAGCTGACTTTCCCTATGAATTTCACAGAGCCTTGCTTTCCCAAAAGATGTTCTCATCCAGGTTGAACTGCAGTTTTGAGCTCGAATAAGTCTTATCAACGCTCCAAGCGGGACTCGGGTACGCTCGACATGTTAATTATTACGCCACATTGCCAAGAGTGTCCTTGGGTCACAGGGAATATGCGAATCTCAAGGAATATCAGGAGTTTCCCATATCACATTCTCCGTTGGGATCGCCAATGAAGCAAATTTATATTTGTTATAGCACTCTACGATTCCACTTTTTTCGTTATTGAGTAGGTTTTCGAGACTACCAGTAAATCAGATATGTGAGTTGTATTGTTTTTTGTGTTGTGTTGTTAATACTGGACAGGCTTCGAGATTATTCCTGGGTAAAAATAGATCCATTTAGTTAATAATAACACATTGAACTCGGCTTGAGCAAGGGATGATAGCATCTTTAATTATTTTTAAACTTTAAATTTGTGTCTTTTATCAGAAAGATGATTGTGCTGGTAAGGGATTGGGAGATAAAATAACTTGCATGACATTTTGACACTTCTTTGGTTATATATTTATTTTTAGAGATAAGTCTCACTCTCGAAATCAGTCTCACTTATGTTGGGTAGGCTTGTCGCACAAATTGCAAAAGGGTAACTGGACGCAAAAATGCTTCTTAAGACGGTCGATTTCAGCGCTCAGAGGTAGCCGATTACAGAATAGAATGTGGGTGAAAGATTACGCTTAATGCAAGCGATTTAGACATAAAGTTAAGCATACACTTGCCGTGCTTTGCTTAGATCCTTGAGTATAATCAACGCAATCAAATGGTCGTCTGGGATTATACAATCGTAGTGACTTATTTTCAGTAATCAAAATAATGACTTTATGAAAGCTTGTGTACCAGGAAAAGATTTTACTTAGTATTCTGATTATTCAGAGTATCACTGATGGTTTTGTATTCATACTCCCTCGCTCTTTGTCCTCCTGTGACAAAGATTAGCGCAAGCTCACATGCAGAAAAGTATATCCATAAAGCAGGATATGAACATGACCTGTATAACTCATTGGCTATCTCATAAATATCATATATTTTAGAATGCTTATATCATTTAAGGATAGGCCAGGGATTTTCTGATTAGATATTGACTTGAAGTTTATATAAGAATAACATCTGGCTATGATGATGTTTGTCAAATGATACCCTAGAGCTTATTACGTTTCCACCGGATTCGAATAAGAGTGTTTCAGGGATTGCATTGGACAAAACTTTGTAGTAGAGTGAGACCACATCAGACCAAGCTGAATCCCCCTCCAGCATTGCTGTTTTCCGACCAATTTCATAATCATAAACTTCCAAATAAAACAAACTTCTGGTTAATAATGATGCCTCAAAGGATTAATTGCAAGTTTGATATGTTTCGGGATATTTTGAGATATCTTCCTGCGCCCTTAGTCAAATGATGACGAGCGAACTTCTTTCTTGCGACAGACGTCTTTAGGGCGAGACCAGCTTCGTAAAATCAAGATCCATTTAGCACCAAAAAAAAGCCTTGCAAGATAAGTTTTTTCATTACTCTTCAGGCATTAAAGTATTTTGCGTAGGAATTGGTATGAGAGATAGATTAGTGGATGATATTAGCAAGATTAGTCGGCCGAACTTGGCATGAGCCCATTTTTATTAACGCTTTCAATACATTATTTGCCATTTATTTATTTACTCCACATTTCGGCTTCTATCTTCTAATGAAAGGGGAACATTTGGCGTGGTGCATCGCTGCCGGGAGAAAGCTACAGGCAACATTTATGTGGCCAAGTTTATTGACACTCCTGGAATTCTCGAAAAAACGACCGTTCGTAACGAGATTGCCATCATGAATCAATTGCAGCACCGAAAGCTGCTCAACCTCCACGATGCCTTTGATGGTCGCAACGAGATGGTTCTTATCATGGAGTTGTAAGCAAAGAGATTTGGTGGCCACCTGATGGCTCCACTATTTGTTATGATCCCTGGTTATGGATGCTGAATATTCATTTATTCATGTTCTGGGTAAAGAATTGGGCGAGAATCAGGGGTTCTTTACAAATACGTTTACTTGCAAACAAATAGATGACTTTATATCTGTACTAACAAAAAGAATCTCCACAATCACTAGAATTACTTAATTCCTCACTCAAAAAATGTATGCCGCGTGGAACTTGTTGTCAACCAAAGATATTTTTGCCTCATAACAACCTTTATACTCCATCCATAAGCGCAAGGATCCTAAATAATAAGCTCCTCTTATACAAAATGACTTACCAACTTAATCTTTTTCGTACTTTGTGCATAACGTTGTGATTTCCTTTCAACTCAATCTAGCTATATTAAAATTGTAGGTACTTTTTTTTCCCTATAACATATTCTTGATTCCATGAACCCCCGAGGTCATTGGCTGGGGAAAATTATGCTCAGCTTTACAGAAGGGATTTATCAAGACCAAATGGATTGATATATATCTTTGGCAAGAATGCTTTATTTCAATGTCTTTTGATAAACTTATTCATGTGTTTCCTGGCTAACAATTCTCAATAAATAGCAAACTGTGTAGTTTAACTAAGTCTGGCTCAGCTGGGGTTTGACCATCTTTATCAGAAGGCTGGAGAACTTTGTTAAATCACACTAAACATTCATATACGCTGAACTAATGTTTTGCTGGTATGTTTTCAGCCTCTCCGGCGGCGAGCTGTTTGACCGAGTTGCCGATGATAGCTACCAAATGAACGAGGCTGAGGTAGTCAAATACATCTCACAGGTTCTCGATGGAATTTTGCATATGCATGAGGCCAGCATTGTTCACTTGGATGTAAAGGTAACTTTTTCTCAGTACTTTACCAGGCATAATAGTAGTTCAATATAATTATCATCTTAGGTTTCGCCTTTATTATGGTGCTTACTTAAATTATGTGAATAATCCAGTAATGTTCTTGACATTGAAAATGGCGAACTGAGGCCTCACCAAGGAAATTTGAGGTCTGCATTTAAAAGAGATTAGAGACTGTCTTAAATTAATTAGCCTATCAGACTGATAAGAATCATCTTCTCCTAAACAGAGGCAGCAAGTGCTGAAAATGTTATAGCTACATTTTAACTGTAGTATTATCATTTTTACTGTATCACGTACACCTCTTTGGCCAGAAACTTTCACCACTAATTTTCTCACATTTCAAAAGACTTCCAACTCATTGCCTGAAATCAATCTCGTTATGAGATAATGAGACAGCAACAATAAGTGACCATAGAGGCCAGCGTGTGAAAAGCAACTCACCGTGTTTTATGAGACTGATTTTCTGTGGCTTGCAGCGCTAAACGTGAGAGCAGTACTCATAGCGATATGGCAGCAGAGTTCTAAGGAAAAGTTCGTGAGGCCAAAATGGAAATAAGTGAATATTTCCAAAAATTAGGCGCTATTACTAGACTTGCGTGGGTAGGCTGGCGCTGATACTAGTGGAACTGCGAATTCATTAAAATGTAAGTTTCATAATCTGGGATGATAGATCTGGTCATTTACGTGGACTAATGTTGGTTATTCATGTGGAAATAGACTAAAATGAGAAATGATTAGACTGCTGATAAAGAGTTTAAACTCTACAACATAGAGGATATAATATAGAGAATATATCCATTTGCGAAGTCTGCTTAATTTATAAGCAAAATATCTATACATTTCTTTTTTTCCATATAATAGGCCATTATTAATTCAGATTGTGTATTTGGCTAACAAATCATCTGGTATTCCGTGTTATTTTATTTCCACGTAACATGAATTTGTACACTCGACATAAATAAACCTACTTATACCGAAAATTAAATATTTGTAATGGTGCAAAATTATGTCGGATATTTTACTTTTTATCTGTAGCCCGAGAACATCATGTGTGAGACGAGCAAATCAACAGACATCAAGCTGGTTGATTTTGGCCTGGCAACAAAGCTAAATCCTAAGGAGCTCGTTAAGGTGACAACTGCGACCGCTGAGTTTGCCGCTCCTGAAATCGCAGATCTCGAGCCTGTCGGTTTTTACACAGATATGTGGGCTATTGGAGTTTTAACTTATGTCTTGTAAGTAATCCATGATTTTTTCAGAGAAATATATTGTTTTAAGTATAGATTTATGTGTGTAATGTGTGGTGTGATGAGTGAACGAGGATGCAATTAAGGATATTTACGGACAATAAGTTTACTGTCATCTTAGCATTTGCGAAATTCAATGTGCGCATTCCTATGAACCTGGTAGAAGTCGTGGAAAAATGCATACTTTATATTAATTTCATAAATTATTTTGCTTTTTACTATCAGTGTCACATTGTTTCGAACAGCATTTTTCTGCCTTCCTTAGGTTGAGTGGACTTTCGCCATTTTCTGGTCGCGACAAATTAGAGACGCTGGATAATGTCCGAAGAGGCGAATATTCATTTGACTACAATGAGTTCAAAGGCATTTCGGATAAAGCCAAGGACTTTATAAGTCATCTGCTACAAAAACAGCCTAAGTAAGTGCTTTCAAAATTAATATATTTATTAATAACTTTAGCTTCAAGGCGATAGCATTTCTGCCTACTTTGAATTTGTAAGAATGTCTCGCTTATGCCACTGGCGTACTTTCATTTCGTTTCAGAATGCTGGTCAAAGGGATTCATAGATTGGCCACGTCAAATACCGCAGGAGGATCACCTTAAAGTGTTGTCTGTTAAACTGTGCGAAGAAGACCTCGGCTTACCGGCCTACGACCCCGATGACTCCATGTTGAGCTTGCATCCATCATGTCATGGGCATCGTCAGAGCCAGCAACCATTATTCACCAAAAAATCACCAAAAAACATTAAACCAAAAAAGGTGG